ATATATATATATATATAAATATATAGGGACAACAAAAGAAATAGGGTACTTGAGTAAATGAGGTTCTGTTTGTGGTCATTGGTAGTGTTTCAACCTGCCAGCACTATCCTCTACCATTTGAGATATAGGAGAACAGTTACCAGGGAGTGGATCAGCCACAAAAATTTTGACAGTAACTTACACAAGTATTTGCTAGACATAAAATAGAATAGAATGCTTGAGACTGGCAATAATGGGTTCTGTACCTAGTTCTGGGAGGGCAGTATTGTCTAATGGTTACACGGTGGTTGCAAACAAACTTGCAACAAGATAGCCAGTTTTGACACATTCATGTTGAGAGGTAGTGGTGTTGTGTGGGGTAAGACTTGAACCATGTATTTGTAAAATGGAGAATGGCTCCTTTATCTGAGAAGTTAGTTGAGTATGAAGCATTAGTGAATAAAGAGGACTCTGAGATGCACAGAAAGGCAAACATCAGTCAGAATACATAAGATCAGAAATGTTGATCTTTTGGCTCTCAGCTGAGTGCAACTTCTCCTAGCTTTAAGAACATTTTATAGGTGAATCGTTCTCTCCCTCATCCCTGGAAGAACATTGGTTGATTTGTTGGTGTAGCAGAACAGACTGCCTGGTTCAGCTGAAATGCAGAATGTCCCACAAAATCTAGTACGTTGTGCAAAACCTGGGCAGTCTTGCTCCACTGTACATGGCAAGCAATGCCAAAACTTGGAGTATGTGATTTGACAATGACCCAAAGCCATTGAAAGACTCCCTTTGCCTGATCCAGAGTCCAGGGAAGTCACTTTTGGATTGTACAACATTAGGCTCCATGGGAAATTAATTTGGGAAGCTGCACAGATATTCTAAGGACAAAACTGGACATTAATATTTTTCCTGAATAAAGTCCAAAGTCAACATTGGTTCCTATTGTAAAACCCGTAGGGAAATAGTACAGAATAAATAGCGGTATAAGAATTTGCAAGAGCAGGCTCTTATTTTTAGAGCCCTGCAGATCCACGGACATCCATGGGTATCTGCATCTACGGAGGTGGATATTCACGGCTCTTCTTTGTGGATACACATTTTGTATCTAGAACTCCATAAATGTGTGGCTATCCCCTTGATATCTGCGGATATCAACATCTGTGGATCAGTTTTGCAGGTGTGGAGGCAGATACCAATTTTATATCCATGCAGAGCTCTACTTATTTTTGTTGCAGAAACATCCGTTGTGTCCTCACAGAATGCATACAAGTGAAATCCGTACATTTTTAAAAATGCATGTGACGGGGACCCACTGCTCCCATTTTATTCTCACAGACCTTCTCTTGTATAGATCCCACCAAGCAGTTTACTTAGGCTTCATCTACACTGCAGGGTTTTTGTGCAAGAAGCTTTTTGCGGAAAAGTGCGTCCACACCTTAAAAGCGTATCGCAAAAGCGATGTGCTTTTGCACAAGAAAGCGTCCATACTGCATGGACACTCTTGCGCAAGAAAGCTCTGAGTGCCATTAACAGAATGGTCATCGGAGTACCTGTGTTTTTTCTGATAGGCTCTTTTTGCACAAGAAATTCCTGCGGAGCATCCACACATGCCTTTTTGCGCAAGAACTGTAGCACAAAAAGGAGTTATTCCTTGTGGAGAGAGGAATAATTCTACTGGCAAAAGCCCTCTGTCCTGTCAATTTACTGTGGTCTTTTTTTTTTTTTTTGCACAAAAATGTGCTTGAGGTATGGATACTTTGCCAGTTTTTGCACAAAAATGGCTGGTTTTGTGTAAAAACTTTTAGTGTAGACAGCCTTACAGTATTGCACTCTTTTGCTTTCTACATACTAGTACAGTCACAGTATTTATGTCCTCCAACTTTACTACCTCTTTGCCAAAGGTGAGAGAAGAATAGGTGTCTTTTCCCAGGGAAATACCATTTTATCTGGGCCTACCAGACTTTCTCTTTTCTGCTTCTTCCCCTCTCCCTGCATTTTCTTCCTGTGCTCTTTGGTCCAATCTCCTTGTTAATGGGCTAATTAGCTAGCCAGTGGTGAGCTGATATGGTAATAGGAACTTCTCTCCTTAATCAGGACATCCCTGTGGTCTAATTCATTTAAACAGTGACCAGAGTGCTGGTTCAATTGCTTATTCCCAGCACTCTGTCTCCTTGCATTTGTGAGAAATGTGCATAGTTCATTCTTGCCTCACTGTTTAGGTGTGATCTCAGTTGCTGAGGTTGTATTTCAAAATCTTATTTATATTTTGATATTCTCTCTTTCCCCCTCCCCCCCCACTTCCTCCCCTCTCCTCCCCTCCCACAGATACTGAAGCAATCATGTACAGAGCTTTTATATTTGGAACCATCAAGTGTCTGCGTGGGAGGTAAGTTAGTAGAAATGGAAAATAATGTGCAAAGAATTCTGATAGTGCTGTTTGTGTGTAAAATGTGTAGCTAAAATTCCACTAGCTAGAAAATGAATTATGGAAGGATTGGGTTCTTCCTATTTCCTCCCCTTAGGAGGATTATTCTTTGACTCCTCCTCTTGCAGCCTAGATTAACTGCAGTGTGAGAATTTTGAGGCATGCTCCTATTCTCAATCAGTCCTGTGTCTGGCAACTCCCTATTGTCTGGTGAATAACAAACTGAGCAATGTTGTTATTACAATTACCAGTAATTATTTGTATTGAGATAGTAGCTTCTAGGAGTCCAGTCATAGGCTGAGAACACGTAGTCCAGAAACTCATGTGGCAATATATTGCACACTGCCTAAACCACTATGCTGGTCTTAAAGCCAAGCACTTTACTATCCAATTTTCCACCGTAAAGGTTTACTCCATTTTTCATATCAAATGAAAGGGATCAAGTTACATTTTAAGTCAAATATTTCACAGTAAACAAATACTGTAACTTTCCAGTGAAAGAGTTAGTTTTTCAGAGGTTTGTCACAAAACCATTTGTTTATTTGATATTCTCTATGTGTGGTGGATGAAACTGAATTAGAGATGGGCTTATAAATTCTGTTGAAAACTGGCAGCTAGTCAAATGAAATCAGAATGATGGTAAATCAGTTTCCTTCACTTCACTAAGGGAATGTCTACACAGCAAAGTTATTTCAAAATAACAGCCGTTATTTCGAAATAACTTTACTAGCATCTATGCAAGCCAACCGCTATTTTGAAATTAATTTGAAATAGCGGAGGGCTTATTTTGAAATTGGTAAACCTCATTCCACGAGGAATAGCGCCAATTTAGAAATTGCTATTTCGAAATAAGAGCTGTGTAGACGCTTATTTCGAAATAGGGGGCCTCCAGCCCTTCCCAGGGTGCACTGCTGGCCACTCTGGCACCAACCAGGAAAACTCCTCTCCTCTCTCACTCACTGGAGCCCTTAAAGGGGTAGACTCCGGCCACATTCTCTGTGCCAGCTCCAGGCCTGCCAGCCTAGAGACAGTCTTTGCTGCCCGACTCACTGGCCCCAACATGAGCCAGCAAGCCTCTGGCTGCCAACCCTCCACCGCCCCTGGACCCAGTCCCCCAGCTCCCAGGAGCTTTCAAGGGGCCAGAAAAGACCGGTGCCTTCCTGGTCCAGTGCAGAGATCATGGACCTCGTTAAGGTTTGGGGGGAATCCTCCAATGTCCATGATTGCCACACTCGATGGAGGAACGTGTCCGTCTACAGGCGGATGGCTGCCAGCCCACGAGGAATAGTGCCTATTTAGAAATTGCTAGTTTGAAATAAGCGCTGTGTAGACACGGAATAGGGGCTATTTCGAAATAGAGGGGTCTCCAGCTCCTTCCCAGGGTGCCCTGCTGGCCATGCAGGCCTCAACCAGGAAAACTCCACATGCTGGGGGGCAGAACTGTCCATGGACAAACAAAACCCTGGGGCAGAGGGCTCTGACCAGGGCACGGAGGAGGAGGGCCAGGAGCTGCAGGACCCCGGAGGGAGCATGCCACGCAGCCAGGACCCCCGAGCCGTCCCAGCGAACCTGTCACTGGTGTCATCCAAGGCCGGGGAGGCAACAACATGTGAGTCCCCTTATGCGGGGGTGGAAGGGAAGGGAGACCAGGGACTGTGCATGTTGGCATTGCTGACCATGGATCATGCAGCAACCTGTACATGTGCCATGCCATCCCATGGCACTTGGCCCCAGCTGGCTGCCACGCAGGGGCCTTCCCCTGTTAGCCACACGTGTGTGTGAAGACACATGACATGCTCCTGACCCTGTAGCCCTGTGCATGTGTGGGCATGTGCCGTGCCACCCCATGGCACTTGGCCCCAGCTGGCTGCCACGCAGGGGCCTTACCCTGTTAGCCACACGTGTGTGTGAAGACACATGACATGCTCCTGACCCTGTAGTGAGACACAGCAGGACACCCTCCCTCCACAAGCCCCTTCTACACAGAGGCAGGGCACATCTCCCCACACCCACACTATATACAGCACAGAAGCATGGGTGCAGTCCTGGGCCATCTCCCACTCCCGGGGATAGCAGCACATCCCGAACATGGCCTGTGTGCAAGCACATCGGCTCTGATGGTGCGGCAACCTGTCGTCCTCGCCTTGCAGAGGGGGGCTGGGCTTCACCCATTGTGTCCCCAGGGAGAACTGACCACTTCTCTTCTTTCTCCACAGCCGCACCAGCTGCGTGTGCGGGGTGCACCCCGCCCGAGACATTCTCCCGCACTTGAGGGCTCAGCAGGTCCACCGCAACACTGCAGGGGTACCAAGTCCTGAGACATCCTTCCGCACCCGGCTGAGCTGTAACCAGGAAGAATTCCAGCGGGTGCTCCTGGTGGCACTGTGAGCTCTGAACCGCACCCTGGACTACTGGGTGCATGAAGACCTGCAGCTCTGGCGGGAGAGCAGGTGGGAGCTGCTTACCCAGAGCCGTGCCATCTGCGACCACCTGCAGACCCTGGAGCAGAGATTGCTGCCTTCTGCCACTCCAGCCCCCACTGCTGCCTCCCCAGCTACCTCTCCTCCCCCGCACTCCTTCTCCCCCTCCCACCTCTTCCTCCACCCCCTTCCCACCATCCCGGAGACGCCTAGGCCCCTGCACCCACGGTGCTGGGAGACAGTTGGCCCGGCGAGATGCCCAACCCTGAGCCCTGAGCTTCTCCTCCCCCTTCCAGCTCCGTCCTCCCAGGTTTCCCCCTCCCCTCTCCCACTCTCTCCCCCACACCTCAGTTTTGTTCAATAAAAAGAGTTTGTTTTCATGATAACACGTGTCCTTTATTGTACATCAGGAACGGGGAAGGGTAAGTGGAAGGATGTTGAGGGAGGAATGAGGCACAAGCCCCCAGTGGGGCACACCAGGGAGACTGTTAGTCCTCCTCCGGGTGGAAGCTTTCCTTCAAGGCCTCCCGGATACGGACAGCCCCCGATGGACCTCCCGGCTGGCAGTTGTGCAGGGGTGCATGTACAGGCCAGCCAAGTGCTCGGCCTCTGCCATCCAGCCTGGTAGGAAAGCCTCCCCCTTCCTCTCGCACAGATTGTGCAGCACACTGCCACCAGGTATGGAATATTCCGCTTGGAGAGGTCCAGATGGGTGAGGAGGCATCTAAAACAGGCCTTCAGCCAGCCGAAGACATCCTTCACTACAATGCGGGCCCTGCCGAGCTTGACATTAAAGGCCTGTCAGGAGGGGTTGAGCTGTCCCGTTTAGGGCTTCATGAGTCAGGCTTGTAGGGGATAGGCTGCATTCCCCACCAGGCACACAGGCATGTCCATGTCCCCGACCCTGATGTGGTGGTCGGGGAAGAAAGTCCTGGCGTACAGCATCTGGTACACAGAGGAGTTGCGGTAAACCGTAAATGTATCCTAAGGGACTAACAGAATCGGTTATAGAAACTATACAGTTACTTTTGCATTAAGGGTAATTACATCTTAACATGTAACTCTATATATAGCTGGTATGATTATTTTGATTTTTAAAAGTCCCAGTGAGTGTAATCACATAAATTCATAATTTTTACCATGCCATGAACATATGGACTTTCAACTTTTTTCCATGTGATTTGAAAACAAGTTGTATTCCTAGAAGACACAGTATCTTATGTTAAAATGCTAGAGAATCGTGTAAAATTGCAGACCAGACTTGAAAGGCAGTGCAAGTGTTAATTTTCCCTAAGTTTGACCTATTCCTAAATTATTCTGCTAGCCTCTTTATAATTTCACAATCCACCCATACTTAGAATTAATGCAAAATAAGGGTATTGCAAAAACTTTTTATTCTGTTTTGTTAAAAAATGGTAACAGTTAGTGGTCTATTTGAATCAGAGCACGGGTTTAAATAATTAAAGACTATTCACTCAAAGAGAACTTCATGATTACCATCCAATTTTCAGAATAAATTCAAGTCAGCCAATAGTGATGCTCTCAAAAGACCTAATCCAAAGTGCATTGAAATCAATAGGAATCTTTCCACTGATCCTAAAAAAGGAATTTTGTATAAATAAAAGCTATCTGTTTGAGAAAGTCTGTCCATTAGTGTTGTCAGGTGTCCGGTTTTGAACTGGACAGTCTGGTATTTGAGGTTTCTGTCCGGGAAACAAATTGAGAAAATACCGGACATATAAATGTCCAGTATTTTCTAATTAAGTTTTATTATCATAAGTATCAGTACGTAGTTGCGTATTGCCTGGCTGGTAGACACGCTCACACTGCGTGAGCGTGTCTACCAGCCAGGCAATACGCAACTACGTACTGATACTCATGATAATAATACAACTTACTCAATTAGAAAATACAGGACATTTATACGTCTGGTATTTTCTCAATATGTTTCCCAGACAGAAAGCTCAAATACCGGACTGTCCAGTTCAAAACCGGACACCGGGCCACGCTACTGGAGGCCCCTCTCAATCTAAGGCCTGAAGCTGTAGCTTCTTCAGCTTGTGCATGAATCCGGCCCTGGCAGCCAGGTGTGTGAAGCCGCCACCTTCCCTACAAGGATGAATCTTACAACCGTGGGGCTCGCACATCCCCTGAGCGGACTCAAGGCAGGCTTGTGTAGCGGAGACGCGTAGTCCTCGGCCGGGGGAGGGTCTGTGCCATGCAGCCGATGAGGCTGGAGGATTGCGACGATCCCTGCTCCCCTTCTCCACTCAAGGGTTGCTGCTTCTTGCCCAGACACCAGCTCCGGAAAGACGCAGGCCAGACAGGTGCTAATTTCTCTTAATTCCTCTCTACTGGCTCCGCCATCTGGTAACTGTACTGTCCATTCATCCATGGGTTTCTCTCTCTGTTCAAGAACTCCTCCTAAATGATAAGAGCTAGGACCACCAAATTCAGCATATGGCTTCCTCTTATAACTTAAAGCAAGATCAGGCTTTGGTTGTGCCAGGAAAATGGGATGTTCCTGGAACGGGATTGCTTCTATTAAAACCATACAGAAAAGTGACAGAATGACCAGGCAGGTGAAAGGGGATTGCCCAAGCCCTCCCTCCACCCCCCTCAGCAGGCACCCTTTAGGGAGGGTGGTGTGGGTCTGAAACTCCCCACCCCAGTTTCATAGAATCATAGAACCCTAGGGCTGGAAGAGACCTCAGTAGGTCATTGAGTCCAGCCCCCAGTTTGTACAGGGATGCATAAAACCATACAGAAAAGAGACAGAGCAGGTGAAAAGGGCTGGCTACCCCCCCATCCAGGACTGCCCCAGCCCTGAGCCTCCCATCCCCAACCTCCCTTTTGCTGAAGCCCCCCGGCCTGGATTTGTATGGGAGTATTGCTGGCTGTTTCCCTTCCTCAGGGAGCAAAGGGAAAGTGCACCGTTTGCTGCACTCCTCACTCTGGCTGAGGAGCGCTGGGGGCAGATGAACCTGGATCTGCCCCAGATGGGGGACATGCACCCTCCCCCAGCTGTGCCCGCTGGAGCTGCTGCAGCCATGAAGAGGTGCTTCTCACCTGGCCCCAAGCTGCTGCAGAGAGAGAGAGAGAGAGAGAGCTGGGGTTGTCCTCTCTCCCCAGGGCAGCCTGCAGCCTGAGCCCTTCCTGCCCAGCCCCACCCCAGAGCAATGATTTAAATGAAGCATGGACATTTTCATTTTATTTTCTGAAAAACAAAAATTAATTGAGTTAAGGACCCGAGCAGCACCGGGTAAATCATCCAGTATCTTATATAGTAGCACTCAATGAGAACTTATAGGCTTACTGTGCTTTACATCTCACTGGGAGATTTACTTGGTGTTGCTTGGTCCCTAACTCAATTAATTTTTGTTTTTCTTCATTTAAATTGTTCTGGGGTAGGGCTTTAAGTTAGGGTAAGAGGAAGCTGCATGCCAAATTTGGCAGTCTGAGTTCTTACCGTTTAGGACATGGGTTCCCAAACTGGGGGTGTGTGAAGAAATTCTGGGGGGGTGGGCGAGGCAACCCAGCCACACCCCCCCCGGTCAATCCCACCCCAAGTTTTGCTCCTATTTTTTTAGGGGGGGCATGAAGGTTTCTCAAAAATCAAAAAGGGGGCATGATACCAAAAAGTTTGAGAACCACTGGTTTAGGAGGAGTTCTTGAACAAACAAACAGACATCCAAACAGATGGAGAGACAGACAAACTCCTTCAAATATATAGTAGATTTGTGGGGCAAAGGGCTGTTCCAGCCATGGGCCGGGTGCCTGCAAGCAGGGGCTGCTCCTACATCTGTGTTTAGCCACGGACAGGGGAGCCTGCGGAGATTGAGAACTGGTAGTAGCCCTACCCCCAGTTCAGGGCTGGGAGCTGGCAGCCAGGCTCAGCATGGGGTTGGGGGCCATGGCGCCCCATGGGCTGAAGGCTGTTGCAACCGAGTTGGAGCATTCCCCAGCCCAGATGGCGCTTTTAGTCAGTTAACCGGGATTTTATACCCCTTCTGCCAACTGACTCTTTCGAGGTGAAGTTGGGGTGCTGTAGCAAGGAGAGATGAGTAGGTTTGCAGTGTGAGACCTGATTGATATAAAGCTGGCTCCCGACACACCTACTAACGGCTGATAACTTTGTGTTTTCAGAGGAGTTTCATGTTGTCCTCAGGGGAAGTGGCTTCACGTTGGGCAGAAAGCAGGACAGTGTTACTTGCACCTACCACATAAATGGCACCACCCTTAGTAAGTATCAAAGTATAAGGTAAACCTCAGTGACTCCAGGATAAATCACCATCAGCATCTGTCCTACAACTTTATTTTTACTGTTGAGAATTTTCTTTGTCACTTCTCTATTTTATGCAAATCAAAAAGGGGGGGGGGATGTAAGGAAATAATAAAGGGGGGAACTGGGATGGCTTAAAGGACTGGTAATGAGCTATAAGTGCTTTGGTCTCTAGGTCAGTGATTTGAATCCAGTCTAGGCTGGTATTAACTGCAGACGGTTGTTTAATGTCTGGCTGTCCAGCTGTCTGTGGGAAATAAGTTGTGGTGTCAGTCTAGCTCCTAATGGCCAGGTGTCCACATCGGAAAAATATCACCACAACTTGCACTAATTGCCAATCCTTTGTTGGCTCTCCCGGCAGAGGGCTGGGCCCACGTTCTCAACCGAAGAGGAAGTGTTCCAGGTCACACTTGAGTTACATTGGTTTCCCAGCAGAGGGCTGTGCCCACATTCTCAACCGAAGAGGAAGTGTTCCAGGTCACACTTGAGTTACATTGGTGGCTTGTGGCATCACTGTCAAAATGCCGCCTGTTTGAGGTCCACATAAACAAATTCAGTTTCCTATAAAAACACTGGATATCCTAGTCTGGCAGTGCAACCGCTGTGGCTTTCCTCAGGGAGGTGGCTAAACTACACGGATCATGCAGGAAATGCATGCCCCTTGTGGCACAAGGTCCAGCATAAAAGTATTCACTTTATTAGTGTAAGCACCAGTAGAAAAGTGCTTATTCCAGTTCAGGAAGCAGACTAAGCTATAAAGAGTAAGGCACCTTTACGATGATGTAACAGTGTTCACACTACTGCTAGTTAACTTATTTTGATTAAAGCAAGAAAAAAAATCACACTCCTAACTGGAATAATTATGCTGGTAAAACTTTTAAGTGTAGACCAGGCCTAAGAAAAGCAACAAGAGAGAGGAAAAAGGGTTTTGCAGAATATATTAGTGCATACAAGTTTATACTGATAGTACATCAGAATAGACATACATGAGTTGATGGAAAGAGGTAATGTGAGCTGTGTAGGACATATATTATGCACACATGACCGTACACAATACAGTTAACGGCTTGGTATAAAAATCATTGTAACATTGCCATAATTCGTGTAAAGAATAATTGACACAAGTGATCTGCTGGAGCTCTGCTGAGAAAATAATTCGTAAGTGAAAGTTCTGCTTAGCAATTTGAAAAATGAACGCCAGTGTGGATAGCAGTGGCTTAATGTGCTAATTTCACCCCTTGGATTTGTTTATAAAAAAGATGATTGCAAATAGAAACACCTTTCTGTGTGCTTTTTCAGTTCCAAGGGAACAGTTTTCTTTATGTATGTATTTTTTGCTTTTATTAATATTCATACTTGGCCAAATCCTACCGAGTTTAGCTCTTATTCAGCCAAAACTCCAGTTGGGAGTGATACCTGAGTGAAGGACTTCAGGAGTTGAGCTGTAGTCAGAAAAGATCTTAATGAGTGCAGGAGAGCAGATTTTATTCTACACGGTTCTTAGAAACCTCAGTTAACAATCAGGAAAACATTCAGGGCCTGATTTTTTTTGCTGCTGTTGTTGCCCTGCATCTTGTGTGATCATTTGCACAAGTGCAAAGGGAATGTAAAAGGGTACCATTTTGATTCAGTCATGTTTTACACCCGCTTTGTACTGGCAGAAATGACTACGACTTGAGTTCTCCTAGGAACAGCTGCTATTTTGGGTGTTCTGGAACCAAAGTGATTAGTCAGTGGAGTTTGCCGTAAGAAGTAAATATCCTTAAAAATAAGCCGTGATTGCGAAATGAGTTAAGAGTAGGCGTATAGAATAAAACAGAAGGATTTTGAAGGCGTTTCTAAGGAACTGAATAGTTTTTAATTCATACAGTGCACTCACTTTCCCCCAGATTCTCCTAACTTCTTGTGCACAAATGTGGTCTGATCATTTGTGTTTGTTAAAGGTCTCACAGAAGAGTTCATAAAAGTAAATATGCTAGCCCAGGTGTTCTGGCGAAAGTCAAATTGGGTAATTACATTCTGCCTACATAAATTGTCCTTCAGTTTCTACGACATTCTGACCTACTGTCATAATTTCCCTGTGCTAATTTGCTCTGACTGTATACATAAGTTGCTGTGGGCTTGGTCAGAAGTGTCTATAATTCAGAGGAGGGAAAAGTAATTTGTGCACATGTGGCTGCAGTATTCCCCAGTATCCAGATGGCTTGGGGAACACTTGAAACATCTCAATGTTTCTGATGAACAAATTTGACTTTATTTATTCTTTGGACATATTTCAGATTTGGGAGAAACAGCTGAAGTTTTTGGAAATGTTGGTACTTTCAGCGTGGATATTGGCATGCAGACCAGCCACGTAGTCTTTAAGAGTCTGGTGTTCTATTCCTGGCTTGGACAGTGACCTCATTCTGTGACCATGGGTAATTCATCTAACCTCTCTGGACCAGTGTTCCCTCTAAGCTCCGCGGCAGCCCAGCTTCACAGGTGATTAATCACCTCCACCCAGTCAGTCAGCTCTGTGCAGGGAGCCCTGAGCCTCTGACTGGGCAAAGCTGATTAATGACCTGTGATGCTGTGCTCCTGCGCAGCTTAGAGGGAACCCTGCTCTGTACCTCAGTTTACCCATCTTAAATAGCAATAATTTTACGGACCTACCTGACAGGAGTGCTGTGAGGCTCATTTAATGTCTGTACAGTGCTCTGAGATCATCTGTAGGCATTAATAAGATAGTATTGTAAATAGGAAACTGTACAGTATCATGTGAAGGAGATATTTCAGTGCTCCCGGAAAAGCTCAGCAAATTCAGTTTCCCATGTTTAGGCCAATTTACCATGAAGGTTAACAGTTTTCGCATTTATTACTCATAATGCTACTGCTAGCATGCAGTGCCAGAAGTGCTGCTGAGGCATGACATCTGATGCTGTTACTTTTACTAGAATCATAGGTCAGTAACATTTGGCACTAGGGGCCTGATTCTCTGATGCCCTGCACCTTGTGCGGTCATTGACACTAGTACAAAATGGAGAATGATAGTATTTCGCATCCTCTTTGCCCTTCTGTAAATGACAACAGCTGGTGGCGTGCTGCATGGTGCTTCCACGTAGCCAGGGCCAGGGTAGTTTTTATCCCAGAAGACAAGCAGCCGAGAATGATAAAAGCTTAACACAGGTCTGAGGTGCCTTGAGCAAAAAGGAGATGAGAAAGGCAGCCCCATGAAGTGGGTTTCCTCCTCTCAAGAAATTCCTGCTACTCATAAGCCTAATGAAAGGGCTTGAGACCATACACCCGAACCCTGTGTGTGGGACACACTCCCTGACTTGGGGTTGCCTGTAAGTCTGGCCTGGGGGCAAACAATAATTTTGTAGGTTCTTTTGGTTTTAGATGTTAGATTTGGAAGGGTTATTTTCTAACATTTGTAAAAAATTATTACTAAATACCAAATATCCATCAGCATTTTAGTAATGATAATAATGAAGGACTATAAAATGTACCCGTAAGACAAAAGCATATGGCCATGTGCTAACCCCCCCTTGCAGTTTGCCTCAGGTCTGAGGAGGAGGAGTTTGTGTGGAGCGTATCGCACACAGATGTAATGTGCATCTCCACGATCAAGCAACAGCTTCCTCCCCAAACCATTTGCATGCATGGCTGTTTTTAAGTACGGAATAGAGTTGCCTCGGAGTTTACTTCTGCAGAGAGGTGATTTCCTGATTGTGGGCTCAGTTGTGCCGTTAAGGCCGAGCCCCAGAATAGCACTGGGTGAGTTATGAGAGAGACTTTGCCTCCAGGTGTCAAACTTCCTCTCAGTGGTACACATGATGGGAAAGTCCCTTTGGCCCTTTGCAGGACAGGTATGGAAGGACTGGAGTCATTCCCAGCAGCTGCATAGGAGCTTCTTGACTCCTCCCACTCCCCCGTCACGCTGCAGAACAGTAGGGCATGGTCTGACACTATGAGAAATGTTACAGAATTGTAAGTTGTTGTAATAATGGCCATTGGCTATAATGGATGGAAATTAGGAATACAGGCCTGCTTATAAGAACTTGCCCTCCTCCTTTTAATTAGTAACAACTTTGTCAGTATTATTAAAGATGCTTTTTTCACAGTTGAAGGAAGTATCCTTATCTTGGACTGCTCTAAAACTCACCCTTAATTTCAGCCACTCAATGACACTTATATAGAAACCTGGGCATAAGTGTTGTCCTGTAGATTTAAACACATGTGCTTTCCTGAATTGGGACCTTAATAGCTCACGACCCTGACAAGTCAGGGCAGCTTTGAATCAAACCAATATCCAAAGTTCATTGAAAAAAACTGGATTGCATCACGTTCAGACATGTCAGTTTCCCATGTGACTACAGTGCAATATGTTGAGGTCATGTGATGCTTTCTTTTTCAGATGAAAAACCAGTAAGGGTGGAATCCAATTTTATGCTCTGTCCAGCACCCGTCCTACATAAAAGTGGCCAGTAAGTACTTTGTAAAACCTTTGTTCTGTATCTTGTTGGACTGTATCAGCTACTGCTAAATTTAATTGTGTGGGGTTTTGGCTAAAGGCAATTCTATTTTTCTTCTTTATGTTACTTCCCTGAGTATTTGCCAGCTTTGGAGCGGGCTTTCAATAGTCATCTGTGTCTACACTGATTTGGATGGTGCCTTGAAAATGAATATGCAGCTAGTTTATTAAACCCTGAAAAGGTTTGGCTTGTCATAAGTATTATGCAGATTTGCTACTCTTTAATAGGACTTAAGATGCTTTCTTCTGGATAATCTTTGGGCTCATTGTTAAACCTCTTACATTATCTGTGACACTTACAAGCTATTATTAAAATTATGTGTCAAGATATGTACCACTGCTCAACATGTAATGAGAAAAGGAGGCACTAATTTCATAACTGCAGCAATCTCTTAACAACATCATGCCTAAGTTAGCCTTATTCTAGATGTCACTGGCTGTATGTTATTTCTACAGCCTTGAGATCTCCACCTCCCAAATTCAGACATGCCCTAGGCTTTTAAGATCACTTTAGCTTAAACTTAATTTCTTGTGCTTAGGTTTCCTGTTTAATGCTACTGTGTTCATCAGGAATCAGAGCTCTGTGGCAATTATAATTAGCTGTCATGTCCTTACAGTGTAAGAGTGGGAAGCCTCTCAGATCATTAACTCTTAGGATATGTCTAGACTACATGGCTCCATCGACGGAGCCATGTAGATGAGTTTACTAGACATAGGAAAATGAAGCGGTGATTTAAATAATCGCCACTTCATTTACATCAAAATGGCTGCCACGTTGTGCCGATCAGCTGTTTGGCGGCACAGCGGGGCAGTCTGGATGCACTGTGGTCGACAAGGGAAGCCTTTGTTGACCGCTCTGTTATGCCTCATGAAATGAGTTGTGCCGGAGTGGTCAACAAAGGCTTCCCTTGTTGACCACGGCGCATCCAGACTGCCCCGCTGTGCCGCCAAACAGCTGATCGGCACAACGTGGCAGCCATTTTGATGTAAATGAAGTGGCGATTATTTAAATCACCGCTTCATTTTCCTATGTCTAGTAAACTCATCTACATGGCTCCGTCGACGGAGCCATGAAGTCTAGACATACCCTTAGAGAACAACTATTACAGTAGGAAGGAGGAGTTTGGGACGAGCTTTCTGTTCCTAAATCAGTACTCAGAATAGCAGTTTACTGCCCTTAGGAGGCTTCATGCACCAGTGGTGTTGCCAGAAAGGCTTACTTGGGTGGGACTTCGGGTGGGTGGGCAATGATGGAAGTGGGGAGGTTAAGCCCCTGCCAGAGTGCCAGGCAGAGGGGGTAAGTCCTGGCAACCTAACCCTGCTCCCCAGGTACAGTGCCAGGTGGATCAGGATTAGCCTCCGCGCTTCATCCCGTTCCCGGCTGGAGTGCAGAACAGGCTGGTGGAGCAGGGCAAAAGCTGAGGTACAAGGAAAGCCATGGAGGGGCTTGCCTCGGTGGGTGTGGATGCAAGGTGCATGGGAAACAGCCCACTCAGGCCCACCCGTGACCACGCCACTGTCGCCCACTGAAGCAGGGGCTTACAAAGTTTCCCCGAATCTAGACATGTAAGGTGCTGGCTCCTCCCCAGCCCATGAAGGATCCACAGTCACACCCGGTGTCTCTTTCAAGGCATGGTTTTACTCTGCAAACTCTAAACGCCCTGGGTTACAGCTCCCAGGCAGGAGCACCATTTTCAGATTTTGGTTGGGGGGATGACCTGTGTATGCTATGGTGGGGGAGGACAGGGAGTGAGAGCATGAGGGGGACAGACTGAGGACAGAGACTTTAGCAGTTTTACTGAGCATGCTCAGTACAAGCCAAGTACCAAATGTGGGAGTGGAGGGTTGGCAACCAACCCCATCCACCCTCCCCCATCCACCCATCATCTCGATCCAGGGCCTGGCACTGGAAAACTCTGCTTTTTTTGGCAGACAATTTAGCAGTTAGTTGACAGGAGCACTGTATCTAATTCCTATATAAAAAAAGAAAGTTAAATAAATATTAGACCTACTCAGCTCTAACACTAACATATTCTGACATCTTATGGCAAGTCACTTAAGGGACACTAGTTAGCCTTAAGCCTTTAATGTATTTTCTTACTTTGTTCCTAACTCTGTCAAGAGAGCCAGACCCCATCAGGACTCCTCATGGGGGCTATCTCAGCGCTGAAACGGGAGTGTGGTCTACTGGGTTACAGCAGGGGGCAGAAACATTTCAGCTCTATATAAGAACATCAGAATGGCCATACTAGGTCAGACCCAAGGTCCTTCTAGCCCAGTATCCTGTCTGCCGACAGTGGCCAATGCCAGATGATTCAGAAAGAATAAGCAGAAGAGGCAAGCATCATGGTCCATCCCCTGTTGCCCATTCCCGGCTTCTGACAAACAGAGGCTAGGGACACCGTCCCTGCCCATTCTGGCTAGTAGCTATCAATGGACCTATTCTCCCTGAACTTATTTCATTCTTGTTAGAACCCTGTTATAGTTTGGGCCTTCCCACCATCTCTTGGCAGGGAGTTCAACAAGTTGATTGTAAAAAAAAATGTATTTTGTTTTTAAATCTGCTACCTATACTGCTTATACATGTAATTGGGTCAGCTTCTTGTGTTATGTTAGTGAAGCAATAAATAACATTTCCTTATTCTATTTTTCCACATCATTCATGATTTTCGAGACCTCTAACATGTCTCTCCATCCTTTTAGTCACTTCTTTTCCAAGCCAAAAAGGCCAAGTCTTGTTAATCTCTCATAAGGAGGCTGTTCCTTACTCCTGATAATTTCTGTTGCCCTTTCTGTACCTTTTCCAAATCCAATATATCTTTTTTAAGATGAGTGACCAGATCTGCATGCAGTATTCAAGATCTGGGCATACAATAACTTTATATAGAGGCAACATGGCATTTTGTCTGATTATCTATTCTTTTCCTAATGATTCCCAATATTGTTAGCTTTTTAGCTTTATACTGCCACTGCACATTATTTTGTGAAGAGAAGCTTTCTTACCCTGATTAGTAACGGCTATTTTAGACCCCAACCTTTTTCTATCTATAGTTAGGATTATATTTTCCCATATGCATTCCTTTGCACTTATCAGCAGTGAATTCCATCTGGCCCCCCACGTGGTGCTCAGTCACCCAGTTCTGTGAATTCTCTTTGTAGCTCTTTGCAGTCAGCTTTGGATTAGTCCCTGTTCACCCCTTTTTCAAGAACATTTATGAAAAGTTTAACACGGTGATCCGGATGCAAATCCCAGCAGCACAACACACATTCCTACTCCCCCTCCCCATCGTTTAAGTGGAGTGATCAGCAGTGATTTCATGATCATCTAATGATCCTTCAATGACTTGAATGCCCAGCTTTTGGTTCTTACTCTCCCTGCCCCAAAGGCAAAGCTGCAAGCATCTCAAACTCTGTTGCAATTAAGGACTGCCTGTGGAGTCAGGGCCTGGGCTTTAAGCAGACCTCAAATATGAAATCCAGGGGTTCCAATTTCACGAAGGGGGCCACTACCTCCTTTAGCTGCCCATAAATGGTACCCTTGCTCCCAGGGGATTTTTGCCTTTGTCTTTCCCAGTACCACCTGTTTCAGGACGTTTTGCAATATTCCTCAGTGCTCTTTTTAACAAAGCACTGCCTGCCTCTCCTGGAAAGACCTTTCTGCATAGCTCCAGCTTCTCGCAGCCTCCCCTCCCCCAGGACTTTGGCAGCTTCCCCAGGGGACGTCTGCTGTCCCTGGCTTTGGCAGCTCTCTCCTGCTTACCGGCATCCTGACTCTTTTAGCCCCAGGTACTGCCTTGCCCTATTAATTGGCCAAATTGGGAGCACCTGTTTTAGCATGCGGGAGCTGGACCAGCTTCGTTTAAAGGGGCTAGCCACCTGTGTGACAGGTTGCTTGCCTGAATCAGGGCCCTAGCTAACAACTGGCAGCCTGTGTCACCAGTTCACATAGATGCACGTCTGTTTTGTATGATGGACAGTGCTTTGGAGGAGAAAAGTTGCAAATGAATAGCCTAAAATACCTCCCAGGGATGAACTCCAGTGGAGGAGTGAGAGGGAGCTTGTATTATTTCATAATGACTGCAAAATGTGGAGATTAGGTTTGAGGGAGAGTGGATGAGCTTGCAATCCAGTTACTAGCCTGTCCTAATAATAAAACAAGTGTTTTCATAACCGGACGTGGTGTTGATTTGTTGTAACCGAGATGTCTGTTTGTTCTGTTGCAATATGACTTCAGGGTGACTCTTGTTGATTTCAGTGGAGATATGCTGGCATATGAGTGGAGTGATGTAGAAATTAGTAAGGTCCAGAATCTTCAGCCATAGCAAAATAGATTTTGATCTCTGCTAAGATGAATTGACACCACACAGAGTAATGAAAAAAAAACCAATTTATCACCTGGAATTTTCCCATAAATCAATCTGGTTTAAAAACTCATTCCCTCCTCACCAACCAAGGGTTACGCTGGCTTAAAACTGCAGAAAATGCGGTGGTGACTCAGGCTCACAGTGTGGCCTAAACACAGGAAATCCTGAGCTTGTAACTAATCTCCACCATAGCTAGTACTTGCCTGAGACTATGCCAAGTGAACGTGAAATGTACGGAATATTTATTGATCTATAATGAAACACAGTGTAAAGTATTTGAACGTGCTGTTGGGCTGTGAAGTGTTACAGCAGAAGACAACATACCATATTGTAACTGCAATGCAAAGAAAGTACCTAACTGCAGGGCAGTTCTTTTCAGCAGCGTTCAGAGGAAATACAAGCTGCAGATTACAATATGTACAGATTCTGTGTAACTCTTCTTTAGAAAAGTTCCCCAGCTGTAACACGTATGTCCAAAAACACTGCACGAAAGAAAAAGTCACAGGTTTTGTTCTAAAGATAAGCAGTGCAAAGCAAATCAGACGACTGACAGCTACGAACGAAATGGACATTTATGAACTCTTGACTT